AAATCCCCGCCATAAATGAAACAATACAATAAACAAATATAATGTATATATCCAGGGAAATAGGAAAATCAAAAACCTTTTGACAGTCAAATATGGAATAGCCCATTACACTTTAAAATAACTTACTCCGATTAAAATTAAATCTTTATCTCGTTTACTTTAAATATTTGAACACAAAAATTGCAGTCGTTATTACGCACAAGGTATCCAGACCTAGTGCATTTTTTAAATTTTAGTCTGCCTTAGTGATCAACACTCATCAAGTTTATGTAGACATAAAAGTATAATGTATAACACAGGAATTATGGCAGTGCCTTTTTGTGATCTTTTAGTAGAAAATTCATTTTTATCAATCCCAAGCATGCATAGAAAACCCATAAATCTTCTCCAAACGTTCTATGTAAATGCACTAAAAGGTCCAAATTTTTTTGTATAAGTAAATTAACGGCGGTTAGCTAATTTCAAAATTTAATGATTCATGTTTTATCATTTGAGGAAATTAAAAATATTAATTTTTTAGTGTCGACATGCATTTCAATTATAAACAGAATACCATTTTGAAATGACTATACTTCTAGCTAACACTGGCAAAATACCAAATGTGGTTTGTTAGATTTGACTTTCTTTTTTCTTTAATATGTCAATGAGAATTTATGGATTTTCTACCCTCTTGTACAAATGAATATTATCCACGGTCCCTACTATATTTATTTTCCTAATAAATTTAAATTAAAAAAAGCATTGTCTAGTTTTGATGAATTCCAATTTTTGACTCATTTACGGCTAAATATATAGTTAAAACTTGGTAAAATAAAAACAAGTGAAAAAACACTAGATCTTCTAAAAAACTATTCAACTTGACAACAGCGCTGACATAATTTCAATTCCAAAACGCTTTACATACGCTTTTTACATACCATACATATAGTAGTGACCATGATAACTAATTAATATCACTTTGATGTCTTTTCTTTATCTGTTAAGTATTGGTGATTAAAATTGTTGTCAAAACGATCTAACCTGCTTAAAATGATCCAATTTAAAGATAAAATATACTTTTATGATTAGTGTTTACAATTTTGGCCAAAGATAGAATCACAGTAACAGACCTTTACCTTAATTAATTCTCTTTTAAAGTTGTACTAAAAATAATCTAAAATATTTTTTATTCGAATTTTGGTTAATAGCATTTTGGAACTACTTAATTTTATTTTTGTCCCTATTTCTCTTAAATGTTATCTTTTGAGTGCACATATACTTCAACGGAGAAACAATCAAATGAGTCTAAAATTGACCAATCTTCGATGATGGTTGTATTTAAGGACTTATACAGTCGAGGACAAAAATAAAATATTCTACTTAGAAGCCATTCACAAAAAAATATTGCTTTACATCATCCTGAGTTAATTAGAATTACGTCTCGTTAAAGCAAACTTTAAAACTGTACAACATTAAAAGAGATACGGATACGGCGTACCATACATTTGCTTTGTGAAATCTTTATAAAAATGTTCATAGAAATAGTTCAAATTGTGTCAATTTTTCCAGTTGTATTGGTCGTGAGACCTGCCCCATTCGTCTCCGACCAGGTGATGAACATTACCACCATGATGGTCCTTATTCCAGTCCCAATCCTTGCCTTTCGGCCTGAATTTGTCCTTTAGGGGTTCGTGCCTTTCTTCCTTGGTCCATGAATCGTCCCTCCACTCTCTGTAATAGAACTTCTTCTTGAAATGCGTGTCATGCTTTTTTTTATCATCGGGATACCTCTGATACTTCAGAAGTGCTGGATTAAGCCTCGTAGGGCTTTTCTCAACAGGTACTGGTTCTGGACTAAAATTTATAGACAGGCTATTAGATGCCACGGGGGAAGAAGGGGAAGGTGTCCTAGGAGGGCCCAGCTCGTCATTACCCTGGTCCAAAAGGGGAGAGGAATCAAGGTACGTCTTGCTTGTGGGCATTTTGAAAAGAGTAGGCTTGGTGTTGGGATTCAATTTCAGTTGTTGCTTAGTGGGGGGGACTATGGTGGAGGGGGGAATATCTCCGTGACCATGGCCGATGCCTGAATCTGGTGACGTGTTGCAACTGTCATTTCCTTCGGTCGACCTGCGCCTTTTGTCCAATTCCGTCGATGCGAACGCCACCAATCGATCAAAACCCGAAGAAATTCGGTCTTGCCATTTGGATTCTTCGTTTTCTTCTTCTACCACGTCAACATCTAAAGTAAAAAACGCTTATTTTACGAAGTTTTTCAAATAAATAAAAGCTGTGTTTAAAACGTGTCAATTTGTATTAAGTTGTGTAAAAATTGAAATAACTTTAATTTAACATTTCTATTATAAAATAGGCTGTATACAGGGTGTTTGTAAATAAGTGCGAAATATTTTAGGGGATGGTTGCCGAAGTTATTTTGTAAAAAAGTTCCTATAAACATAGGTCGAAATATGCTTCGTTTCCGAGATACAGAGTGTTTAAATTTAATATTTTTATTTACTTATATTATTTCAAAGAGTTTTAAAGATAGAGAATGCCACAACTTAAAAAAAAGCGCCACTGACTTTTTCCCGTTTTGATATTAAACAAAATAACTTCGTCAACCACCTCCTAAAATCTTTCGCACTTATTTGCAAACATCCTGTATAATTAACTCATTTATTTGGTTTCTATGATAATTATGCAAAATAGTTTCGTCTTTATTCCAATTTCTACATAACCTTTACGCATAATAAAACTTACCTTCAAATAAAATATAAAAACAATATGAAAGCATTTATAAAACTTAAAAATTAAGACCAATTATTAAATTAGATTTATTGAACCTTGTAAAATTCTATTAAAATAAAGAGTTTTAAATGAGTTTCTAGATTAATTTCGAAAAAATGCGAAATGTTTATTAAGATAAATTATTAAATTCTTCATAATATATATGTTTTTGTTCCTTAAATAAAAACCAAATCTGCCTAATATGCAGAGGTTACTTTAAATAAAGCTTTCGGGAAAATTACACTTCCTGTCATTAATTTTAATACTGCACATCGTTCATGAACTATGCCTAAGGGGTTGTCAAGACATCTTAGAAAAAGGAGTTTTTTAAAAATACTCGAAAATTACTTTCTTTTGAAATCATGTATTTGCCTATGAACTTCCTTTAACACTAAACATTTACACGTTTTCGTTTCATTACAACAACTAATGCAACTAACAAAGAAGTCACACTTAATAGTTGCCCCTCTCAAAAGGCTGAAACAGCATCCGGATGGTATCAAGAGTCCTCAATGGTATCTAAACAAATAACTGAAGAAAACCATTGGCTCAAACACCACTTAAAGGTGTCGAGTATGCAATTTATGTGATGAAGACGTCATCAACATCTATGTCCATGAACAATATACACACTACATGTTAAAAAATGACGAGTATTAGGGTGCAGCTTTTCTAACGTCGAAGGATATCAGAAATGTCTCAATAGAATAGGCGCTACGTTTTATTTTGACTCTCAATCAGCATCCTATAAAATAAGATGAAGACAAGTGCTGTGGCCGCACCACCATTAAACCACCTATAATTTCAGGAAGTAAAGATCTTCAAACAAGGAAAGATAATTTGGGAAAAGAGAAACATTATCAAATATTGAAACAATATACAACCTCTATGTCATATTTATTGGGCAGCACTATGTAAATAAGTAATACATTGATTTGGCTAAGGGCGTGCTTGATTTGCCACTGGACGTGTTATATTTTTTATATAAAATGTTTAAGAATCAAAAACTCGAAAGACAATTTGATGATTTATCTTAACTGCAAAACAAATTGTTTCTATTAAAAAAAAACTTTCATTAAAATAATAACTAGTCAAATATTCGTATATTTTAAAATCTTGTTCACGAAATGGAAATAATATAAAAACCACCACCAAATAATAAAAGTTTATTAAAAACAACTAAAATTAGCTGTGTGGCAAAATTAAGATAAAATAGCGCTAAAGCTACTTACCACCAAAATTTAATCAGCTTCTAAATCTAGTATGGTAGGAGTATTATGCATGCGCTAAATTGTGCGCGCGAGTTTTGTGTGCATGCCTGAATGTGCGCCTCCTATTTAACGCAAACAAACTACAGTAAATAGAGATACTTCAATAACAACACCGATTTAAAATTAACAAACCTGCCAAATGTTTTATACCATACCATTTTCTTCAATGTTTTAGTCATATTTGTTACAAAATCGTTAAGTACCAACTCAAAAAACAAAGCAATTCATTATTTAACTAGGCATCAGCATTTTAGATATTTTAAATTAATTAAATCATTTATTTTTTGTAACTAACTAGTTGGATCCAGTACTTAATTTTTATTTTGTATCTCGACATTATGGTATTTCGTGTTTCGTTGTCCTATTGTTTTAGAAGTGTTTGCGGTGACATATGCTCATGTTTTAAATTTTAATTTTTTTGTTACAAGTCTTATTTATATGTACATTTTTATAAAGGTGAATCTGA